GTGTCTCTTGGCGGCAGGCTGTGGCTCTGCCTGTGTTTGAGCGGGTGTCCCTGTGACTGCACAGGTGAGCTTGTTGTGGGTTTGGTCCATGTGAGTGAGAAACTCAGTTGCCATCATGATGAAACCTGTAACCTTGAACTCTCATTTAGAACACTGCTTTTACGCCTGGGTTCTTGTGAAAATTTTAATCTTGACCTATTCCATCAACACAGAATGTCAAGTCACGGTTCCAGGGATGTTGGAGACCCAGTGACTGTCAATCAAGTGATTTGCCTCCAACCCCAGGAGTGTTTGGCAATGTCTAGAGACATCTGGGTTGTCAAAACTCGTGGAGGTGAGGGAGGAGAGGGCTACTGGCATCTAGTGGGTGGTGACCTATGATGCCACAATGCACAGGACAGCTCTCGCAGAAAGGAATGATCTTGCCCAAATGCTCAGTGCTCAGATACCTGTTACAGGTTATGGGAAGAAAACTCAAATTCCCGAGAAATGTCTAGAACAGCGAGCCTAAGCAGGTTGTGACTGTGCTTTAGCATCATGTGGGAAGCTGGGCTCTTGCTTGTAGAAAGCTTGGGTTTGGCTACACTGAGCCCTGTATCCCCATGGACTTAGTAGTTTAGGAGGTGGCATTCCTCTGTGCTAGTGAGGGAGGACTGCAGCCACTGCAGCTTCACCCCTCGATGCCCCTGAGGGGCTGCACACCAGTAGCGACCTAGAAACAGAAGCTTCCCTGTGCCAGGAGGGCTACTTATTTGAAGAAGCCCCTCTGTGGTCTTTGGTAAATGCGCTGCTGAGCCCTGGCTTCACCTTCTACAGGCATTAGTGGCAGAATGAGCTGCTCACAAGGTCCTGACCAGGCTGAGCGATCCCCAAGAATGATCTGTCACATGTGAGCGTGGACAGATGCCTCAGGCTGATGACATCACGTTTCCTGTCTGTGAAAAGGAGCCAGCGGCCTCTCCCTCCAGGGACCACAGAGCAGCAGGGCTATAGGGTGACAGGGCCAAGGCCTGTGGAACGCCGTGGTGCATCCTAGACACTCAATATGCTTGTTCTCCTTGTTAAAAATCAGGAAATAGGACACTCACAAAAGGGCTGGGGAGGAGAGAAAGGAGCTGGGGTTGCAAGACAGACCACACAGGGTCCCTCCTCCCGTTCTGATAGGATAAGATCCATTTAGTGAATGTGGAAGCCACAGCTGAGCTGCGGCAAGCTCAAGGCCATGCTGCTAGTCGGGCGCAGGACCGGCAACCCAAGGTGTCTGATTAGAAGGCCCCATTTCACTCAGCCCTTAGCTTGCTCAGAGAACCCAGAGCCAGGGCAAGAAGAGTCGCCCCGGATCCTCTTGCTGAAGAAACAGGGAGACCAGACAAAGGCAGCTCTTTCCTTGTGGGAGAACCGAGAGGCTTTTATCTCTTTCATCCCCAGGGTTCCCCTGTTGACCCAGGGACATAATCCGGAGCCTCTCAACCTTTGAGGTGAGGCTGGTGCAGGAAACAGGGAGGCCATTGTTCTCTAATTAGAGCCCAGGTCTCCTCGAGGCTGGGGCGGGCCTTGGCCTGTGCCAAGCCATAGTATTAGGTGACCCCCTCGGAGGAGCCCACCTGCCGAGGCTCATGAAAGCCTGTCTTCTGTATGTGGCAGGGAGGGGGCCCACGACGGGGGTCTTTCCTGGGATATAAAGGGCTCTGCTCCATCGGCTCAGAGCCAAACATCGCTTGTCCAACGGCCTGGCCTTCGAGGGGCGCAGCACGGTAGGCCCCTGCTTCCCTGGACAGTGAGAGCAGCTGGAGGCAGGAGGAGGAGGAGGGCGGGAGAAAGACTGGACACAGGAGGGAGAAAGGGAAGGATAATGGGGAAGGAAGAGGAGGGCGGGAAAGAGGGAGGGAAGGAGGAAGGAAAGAGGTGAGCAGAGGAGGGTGGAGGGAGAAGTGGATGCAGGGAGACCGGGAGGGAGGGGTGCGGCAAGGGCTGAGGCCCCAACCTCACTCCTGGTTGTAGCTGGAAACCCAAAGCCGCCCTTCTGTGAGGAGATGCAAGGCCAGGTGGACGGCCACTGGTGGCTTTCCCTGGGGAAAACCTCCATGGCACCACATCAGCCCACCCACCTAGACCAGCAACTGAAGGATGCAGCTGTAAGCTGGCTCCCACCCCCTCCCCAGGTGCACGTTCTGAGATTAGTGCCCTCACTCTGCCCGGGGCTGGCTGCACACTGCCACCTTCTAGCTGGCCTCAGGACTCCCCTTTCTTGGTTCTCACCAGGGGGTTGTGATCTGCAAGTTGTCATCTGTCAAACCCCAGGCTGTGGCCTGATGCACTGGGTAATGTCCACAGGCAGAACCCAAGTCAGATGGGACCACTCAGGTTGAAGCCTGGGCCCAGCCATGGCCGGGCACCCCCTGGCAGTTTTGCCTCTTGGTGAAGGCAGGTGGACAAGTTCCCAGCTCTCGGCCCCTTTTCTAGAAAGTGAGGCATGTGATGGAAAGAGTCCCAGAGTTGTTCTCAGACAGTATAAGGAGCATACTAGGTGGGGTGCCTGAAACAAAGAATGACTCAATAAATTAAAAAAATAAGGTCCTAAAGCTTATAAGTTACTTTTTAGAAAATTGTAATAAAATACATGGAGCATAAAATTTACCATTCCAGTTACTTTCAGTGCGCAGTTTAATAGCATGGAGCACATTAGCATTTCTGTGCAGCCGTCTCCAACATCCAGAACTTTTTGATCTTCCTCAATCAAAACTCTGAGCCCATTAAGCCAGTACTCCCTACCCTCCTCCCTTAAATTACTTTCAGGAATGAACTAGAGTGTGGGTGGAGGTTGTAACTATAATCTGTTTCTTTGCTCAATTGCATTTGAATAAAAAGGTGGGGAAAGCCCCGTACCTTTTCTGAGCTGCAGGACCACCTGGGTGAGCTCACCCCTGAAGTAAGCGTCACAAGAAGAGAGGGACAGAGGTCGCTGGCACTACACCAGCCCCTCCTTTATTCCCAGATGGGGACTCCTGTGCAGGCAGGGCATGAGCTGGTGGCCGTGGGCCTGTTACCATCCTGCAGCTGTCTGTCGAGCATTTCATGAAGGCTGGACGCTGTCAGTGCAGTTCCTAATGCACTCGAGCAACTTGAACCTCAGGTGCTCCTGTGCCTCCTGTGGACTGACCTATTCAGGCCCTGCGATGGCCTTTATGGGGACTCGTCACGTGTTAGCACTGGACTGGGAGTCGGGAGTCCTGGGAAGCAGGACATTTTTGCCATAAATTGTCAGCCTCTGAGCCTCTGTGAGTTTTACAGCCATCTGTAAAATGAATGTTTGGGTGAGATGATGCCTAGGTCCCTTCCCAGCCCAGACACCCAGCTATCTCGCATGGTATGATAGAATAATAGAAGACCCAACGCAGCAGGTGCCAGGTAGTGACTCAATTGCCCAAGTCATGTCGGCCTGTCATGTCACGTGGGCATGACTTCAAAGGGGTCTCTGGGCTCCTCTGAAACACTTTTTGCCGCTCACCATCAGAGCTCTGCTGTCTGTCAGAAGACTTCTCAAGTCTCACCCATCATTTTCAGTGTGGTGTTAGCCGGGAAGGATTCATTCAGAACTGCTTCTCTGCAGAACCACCAGAGAGCAGGCTGAACCTTGAAAATCAACCTGCCCTAGGTCTTTGTGTAGCCCAAGTTCATAAAGCAGAGCATTGTGCCCCGACAGCAGCCAGACGGCTAGAGCCTGCACCAAGTGAGACTCCAGGCATTCACGCTGCTGCTTTCTGAGTGCATCCAGCAAACAGTGATTGTGCCCCCTCCAGAGGGGATCCCAATAGTGATCCTACAGCCCAAGTGTCCTCTCCCTTCACAAGCCTTTCCCAATACTGAGCCCTGCTCATAAGCAGAATGACTCACTGTGGCCCTAGCTGCATGTGCAGGGCCACTAAGACATGGGGCAACTCGTGCCCCTGAGAGAACACACTGCAGTTTCCTTCCTATGGGTTGATGCAGCCTTGTGAGGGACACACTTGGGAGTTGAGCGCTGCTTGGTTTTTTACCTGTTTACCCCTAGGTCAAGCACCCTTTGTGCAGTATTCACCATGTACAACCCTATCTCCAGCCCTGGGTAGCATGGATCATGCTGTGTTATCATTCATATTTGGCCCTAGAATATAAGATCTAAAGCAGAACACAAACAAATCATCCAAACCTCTTACAATCTTTAGGGTGTCATATTCTCAAGAAGCTAAAAGTATTTTAAAATCCTTCTGTTTTATTTCATTTTATATTTTTTCATCCTTATTAAATACATGGTTGACCAGCTTTAGAGTGCCCTTTGAAGTGAAATGCTGATCTGAGTACAGGCAGCTGTAGCTGAAATGCAGTAGGGTTCCTGGATTCTGCCTACCTCATCCCTCTGTCCCCGGAGCAGCCCTAGAGGCACATCTACTGAGCCCCTAGGACTCAGTAGATGAGAGGGAAGGTGGAGACGCTGCTGGAAAACGTTTGCTAGCCAGCAGCGCCACCACGTGGCCATGCATGGTCATGAGCTGAGTGACATTGGTATGCAAGTTCAAAGCCAGCCTGCCCAGGGCATCTTTGGAATGCTGGCCACCACCAGGTGGGAGTGGTGCTGTCCTCACTGGTGTCCCTGGACTGTGAACCTTGATGCCTGGCTCATGGCCGGCCTGGAATAAATGATTATGAAATAAGTGAGTGAACAAGTGGGACCCCAGCAGCATCCTCAAGGAGCTCACGGCTGTTTCCACTTTACAGATGGCAGAAGGAAGCTCAGAGAGGGAAGGGGGTCTCCTTATTGTCAAACTGCTAGTCAGTGTTGCAAAGCTGGGACAGAAACCAGTCAGGACTTTCTCCTTTGGCCACACACCTTGGGGCACAAAGAGGACAAAACTCCTGTGTTCTTTCATGGATTGCTGAAGGTGTCCTCGTCACATTCTGCTGACCTCTCCCCCAGGAGGCCGTTCCAGTCGACGCCTGAGCCCTGCCCCTGCTCTCCTGCTATGATTGTGCTCCTGCTGACCGTGCTGATGGTTCCCCGTGTTGGTGAGTGACGCTGTTTGACATGATATTTCCAGTTGGCATGTAATCACTTGCTCTGACACTGGGAGCACTGTCGAACTTCATCTGACCTGCTCAGGAGTACTTTTGAGTACTTAGGAGTACTCTGCCTAGTGAGTGACAGAAATCGGACATCAACAGTGAGCCGTAGATTCAGTTCAGTGGGTGAAAGGAATGTGCATGGGATGTGGGGTGGGATATTGAGTGGAGAACAGGGTGGATGGTGTGCAAAGACACCCTTTATAAACTTCCTTTCTCCCAAGAGTCCTCTCCACACCCTTCAGTCACATACGACTGCCCCTGGTTTGGCTGATTTCCGGAGAAGCAGGGACTTCCTGCCACGCAGCAGCGTCCCTGTCCCCTTCCAGGCAGGTACAGTGGGAGGACCACCCTTCCCTCCTCATCCCAGAGTCGCCCACACCAGCCAAGCCTGAGGACACCTAAGCAGCTCCTTGGCAGCTGGGGTGGCGATTTCAAGTCCGCATGGGGTCTGGCTGGAATCTGAGGCTCTCCTACTTGTGTTATCATTCGTGTCCCTGTAGGGCTCACGAACACCTGGGCTTACACTCTCCTCCCTCCACCTGGGTGCGGGGTCCACATAGTCAGCACCACTCATTGATCAGGGGCTTCCTCCTTCCCGTCCTGTATTCGGGTACACTCTGCCCTTCCCAGGGCCTCCTGCACACGGCAGCGAGGAGTAAGGCCATGGGAACCCACTGCTCATGACCAAGTTAGTGGACAGCACAAGAGGTTTGCAGGTTGACAGTTACTCTACCCACTTGACATGAGACTAAAAGTCTTCCCTGTAGGCCCAGATCCTTGCAGCCCCTTCCCAGCTCTGCCCTCCTGGGCACTGCAGACCAACCCACCTGTTGCTGGGCCTTGGTTGCTTACTTCCTGACTGTGTTCTTTCCTGATTGAGACATTTGTCACAAATTCAAACTACAATCCTAATTTGCCTCATTTTGGGTGACAAAAATGTGTAAAACTATATTTACAGTTTTTCAGTCTATTCTACAGTTTTTCAGTCTCTTATCTATTTTTTTCTCTTAAATGAGATCTTACCCACAAAATTTCATTTTCCAATTTTTTTTTTTTGCTTATTTTCTTTGGTAACTAACATCTTCCTCTTTCAAAAGAATACATTTGCCTTTGATCAAAACTCCTTGGATGACATCACCCCCGCCTTTTACATGCATCTTTTAAATTTTTAAAAGATTTTTATAAAATTGAGACTATAAAACCTCTTCCTCCCTATTCTTATTTTTTCTCTTTTTCCTCTTTTATTAATTTGCCACTATATTATGATAATAGGATCTTCAAACAATTGTTATAAAGTGTTTGACGAACACATTTTGGTATGCCCAGAGAAATTTTACTCCCAAATACAAACACCTGGCATTCAAGGACAATCACAGAAAGGACAAGTGCAGGGATTTGAGTGTCCTATACCTGCAGCCCCAGTTCCATAGGGGTGAGGGTGTGCCCATTGCCACGTGGGACTGTCCACCCACCCACTCACCAAGTCTGGGTGCAAACTGGGAGGAAAGTCTGTTTCTGAGTCTGGAGACAGATGCCAAGCCCAGATGGAGGCGCATGGCTTCCGGAAACAGCTGTGAGGAGAAATGTTGCAGCCACCAGCCAAGGCGGGGGCCATCAGGCAATTCTGCAGTGAGGTAGCAAGGGGGGAGGTGGACGTGTCCTAGACTGTGGTTGGGCCTAAGGACGGTCTGGCCAGGACTTCTAGGCAGAGTCCACCCAAGGGGCTGCTTTGGACTCCCCAGCTCAGCCGCGGGGCCCTCACCAGTGAGCTTCCATGGTTGGAGCCCTGGGAATACCTGCCCAGTGGTGATCTGAGTCAGACTTCAAGAAAACCCTAGGGACGTGTTGATGGCCAGGAGGGTCTTTGTCATGACAAGGTCTGTCCTGGTGCTCAGGCCCTGTAGCAGGACAAGGAGGAGCCTCTGTCTGCTCTGTCCACAGAGTGGGCAGGTGCTGTCCCCTACCCTGTCTCACTCCAAGCTGGCTCACTCCCACTCCCGAGGGTGGGTGGCAGTGTGAATGGCAGTCAGCTGGCATTAAGAGAGAAGTGCCTTGGATGTGACACCTAGACCAGATGTTCCCTCCATCCAAGAGCTCCGCCCTGGAGTTACTGTGTGGGTTCCCGCTCCATGTCCTCTATGTGCCCATCTCCCAGAACCCTGAGGAAGGGCGGGGCAGCAAGGTGGGCTGGGCATTCCTGGCTGAGCTGGGTGCAACACTCCCCCATGAACTCCCACTTAAACCTGCTGGTGGACCTGGTCACACCCCATCCTAGAGAGGGCATCTTCCACATTCACTTCCAGTTCACCAGCAGTCACTCACTGGCCATTCGGTGGTGTAGTTCAACTGCTGGACGTTCATTCACCCTCCCGATGACGTCAACAGAACTTGTCCTCCCCCCCACCCTCTCTCCTATACAGGATGTGAATATACACATATGCATCCTCACAGTGCTTACCTCACTCAGTCCCTAGTGCAGTGGGGACACAGTTACAAAAATAGATGATTGCAACATGGGAGGGACAAGTACAGTGAGACAAGCCATCTGTGACATTATGCTAGCACAAGGCGGGGGGGGGGGGGGTTGTCGCTCACACAGCCCAGTTTAGGGGCCAGGAGGGGCTTCTTGAACTTTGAGAGGAGTCATAAGATGTTGGTAGGAGGCTCGGGGAGTGGGCCCAGGGGAGCATCAGGCCCCAGGCACAGCACAGGCAAAGGCAGGACTGCAGGAAAGAGCCTGGTGTCTGGAAAGCCAGAGCCTTGCAAGGTGGCAAGGCATGAGGTCCCGGTAAGAGTGACTGCAGAGGCGTGAGACTGGGGAAACCAGCCACACAGGGCCAGAAGACACCCATGCTGCTCCACGGGGTCTCAGGTTGTGGTCTATAACACGCCAATGATAACCTGCGCCTTGCATTCCTGGGGGACTTAGACATAGCAATGCCTGAACCCTCCTGCGCCAGCTCTGCCCTGCAGCAGGATGGAGCTACCACCCTCTCTCCAGTAGCAACACACTTCACTGATGTGGCACCAGTTTTATTGAGGTGAATTTTGTCCTCATACTTCCTGTGATCTTCCACTTTGTCCTCCCTCCTCCCAACACACACCCTTGGCTAGACTTTAGGAATGAACCGGCTCAGTCCTCTGGGACAAACAATTTAAAATCCTGGATGACTTTTCTAGTTGCTAATGAAAATGTGTGGGCGTGGATCTCCTGCAAGCAAGCAGAGTGTGGGGGAGAGCATGCCTTATTAACATGCAGGGGTGACAAGCTCACCTTCCGCCCTCCAGAAGAGGAATTTAATTATCAGTTGCACTAAGGAATACGAGTGAGGTAATTACCCAGGAGCAGCAAGATCTTGCAATCGCTGCAGAAGTGGGCAGCAGGTACTCAGCTGTGGGCTGTTAGGCTGATGAAATGATTTCCCAGGCAATGATGCCAAGTGTGAAGTATGCCAGGGCAATCCCAGGGGCTCTGTGCCTAGGGCTCGGATGGAACTGTGTCAGGACTGTCTGTCCTGGTCTGAAGGCTCGAGGCAGGAGGTCTGCACAGTTCCCAGGAAGGAGGGAATTCCCTCCCCATGTGGACACTGTGGCACACGGGGAGAGGCTGGCCCTGACCCGACGACAGGAGCCTCTCCTCCACTGGCACGTGGAGAACTGGCCCCAGCCACCCTGCGCTCCAGCATGAGCCTTTCTTCCCTCTGCAAACCAAAGGTAACTGACAGGCCTGTGTTGTTCAGTTTGCAAAATATTTTATTTTACATTGGAGCCAAGAATTTAAAATTGAAAGATGTCACCAAGAATTCAGATTTCTAACAAATTTGTGAAAATCTCAAATGTGGTTCTCCTTCCCCAAGGCCTGGGGCTGAGGCCCAGCTGTCCCTCTGGCTGTGGCTTGGTCCTCTATTTCTCCATGGTCCCCACTGTTTCCTGCTGATGCCCAGCGCTGGGCTTGCTCCTTTTACTACAACGTCTGTCTGGCCCTGGAGAGGCGTGGGTTTGCAGTCTTGGGTCCTAACCTGGACCTCGTTTTCTCTGTCCTGGACAAGTGCAGCCAGCCCAAGCACACTGGGTTTCCGGCTTCTCTCTCAGCCTCCTCAGCCAGTCTTCACTGTTCCTCTATCCACTCAGTGACTGTGGGTTAAGTTTCTAAGTGAGGCATCAGCCCTGAAGCTATAGCAGCCAGGAGGCTCCTGCCCTCCAGAGTCAGTCTAATGCAAAAGGCTGGTAAGTAGGGAGACCTGGGAATCAGAATGAAAGGTATGCACAGTGGAGGTCACTAGAAACAGGGGACAGGAGGCCAGAGGATGGGCAAAGAGCCTAGAATCCCCCAGGTCAGAGGAGGAGTGAAGAAGGACTTCCACATGGTATTGTGCTAAGTAAGCCTTATGTAGCGAGCAGGGGCTGCTGGGCTGAGCCATGGCCAAAGCTTTCCACAGAAGTCACAGGCCATGCAAAGGCCCAGGGCACCTGGTGAGAACAGAACCATCCAGAATGGCTGGAGCAAAGAGGCCAAGAGGAGCCATAGTACCAACCCACGGCCCCGAGTGCAGCACACAGGTGCACCACCGTGGCCTGGCTTGCATCTCATCCCATCTTTCTTGCCTGAAAACTCTGTTGCTCTGAAGTGTCTCCAGACGCCCTCTGCCAATGCAGGGAAGCTTCCCTTGGGACCCCATTAGGCACACTCCATACCTTGGCTCTTCTTCTTCCAATATCAATAGGTATCACCAGGGGAATGGGCAGACAACTCGAGGATCCTTGTCCTTTGACTGCAAGGGCCAAGGCGACTCTTGAGCCCTCCTTCCCTCCTGTTTCCCAGGTGAAAAGTCAGAGAGGCTGCTGCCACCCAGGTCCCAGAACACAGCGGGCTAGGGGTGAGAGCCGGTGACTTCCTCAGCAAAGCTTTGGGGGAATCTCCAAATGAATGAATTTTCTCAGGAGACAGTGAAAGTGGTAGCTTCTGAATGTTAGTCAAGGGATAGCAAGAGGTGAAGTCCAGCCGGCTGGCTGCTGACCCTTGTCATTAGGATCCCACCTCTGCCCAGGTCCTTGTCTTACAGCTGGTGAATCTTACCCGGTGGTGTTTTACAGGCAAGCACATGTGCACACATGGAGGTGTGCGTGCATGCATGTGCACACACACGCGCGCGCGCCCACACACACACACACACAGCCTCACCCAGCATCACTGGTCAGGGCAGTTCTACTGACATCTAGTGGGTAGAGGCCAGAGGTGCTGCCCAGAACCCTCTAATGTACTAGAAAGTTTCCTGCAGTAGAACATTTTCTACCCAAAACACCAGGCTGAGAAAACTGCTCTGAGCCAAGCAGGGCCTGGTCAGGCATTCTCTGCGGCATCATCCTGAGCAGATGGTACCACCATGCATTTCTATGATGGTTGGTTCTTGGGCTTTCAGTTAGAGAAGGTTTCCAAGCTGACAGACCTGGCTACAGAACTGTCCACTTGATGAGAAAGACTAAAGTCCTTCTACTGTTTCAGATGACCACGTGCTTTCCATCACTGGGGGAATGGGAGCCTGAGTCTTTAGGAAAGAGGTCTGCTTGTCCCCATGACCAGGCTTCACCCTGTGCTCCACCAGGGTGCTGAGCTGGCTGCTGGTGGAGTTATCTCAAGCACTGGTGTGGTCCCTACCCATCATCCCTGTACCTCCAAGCAGCATGGTTCAAGGTGAAGTTCTAAATCAGCAGCTTCAAAACTAGCAGAGACACTTGTTTAAAATGCCTATTTCTGAGTCCCGCTCCAGACTGTCAGGGTCAGATCTGAGACCGTGGAGTCAGAATGTTTACTGAGCCTGTATCCCCGGTGATTCTGATGCTCAGTCTGGAGGAAACCCTTGTCCTCCATTACAAACTCCTTGGGGTTGAGGGCTCTTCCATGTCTTTACTTCTTCCCACCCCTGCTTTATCTTAAGAAACTCTAAAACCAGCACTCAATCTAAATAAAGCTGTAGGCTTCATATGCAAAGAAGCTTCCAATAAGTCCCCAAATCTCTCCATCTCCAGCCAGAATGCCACGGTCCAAGCCGACCCCCAGGACAACTCCAGCCCTTCCTCGCCCACCACACAGACCAGGCACACGGCAGGTGCTGGAAAGCCTGCTGTGAACTGAGTTTAGGGCATCCTCACTGTCTTCCTGGCTGTCACCTCCCAGTCTTAGCCCAGCAAGGCGTGGGGACAGAGTTTGTGCTAACACTGTTTCCTTTTATTTACAGGGGCCCATGCTCTGGACACCCCACACTTTCCCCAGGCGTTGCCTCCAGGACTCTCAAAACATATCAGTAAGGATTCTTTGAACATTTCTTAGGAGATGACAGTTAGAACACCAGCTAGGACATTGGCAGAGAGAATATCCCTCTGAACATGCCCCAGAGCCAGTGTCTGGTGTCTGAGCCCACAGTGGTCTCTAGTTTGATACAAAGTTCAAGTTTCATCAGAAGACAAAGGCGGCTGGGAAGGGAGAGCAGCAAATGAAGCAGATGGAGAGTCTCCGAGGGTCCCGCAGTCAGGAAAAGAGGGGCACCGGTGCACTGCAGTGCTCCGATTATGAGAAAGGAGGATCCACATTTGTCTTTGGGGAAGGGAAAATTGTCACAGTGATGGGTCATGAAGACTTCTCAGGAGGGTCCTTGTGAGGACAGAGCAGCTGGAGCATCAATCCAGTGAGTCAGCTGGTGCCGTGAGCCCCAGATGGAGAGCTCACTTCTACCCTTCAGAGGGGAAGGTTGAATGAGCCCATACGAAGTGTTGAATCCACTCAGACCTTAAGGACAAGTGGCCTCTCTCCAAATGACAGCACTCTTGGAGGAAGTACAATGTCCTCCAAATGTCTCTAAGTGGACATTTAGACCAGGCCACGCTGGCACTTAGAAGGCCAGGGCCCGGCAGGCATTTATTTCTCTCCAGCAGGAGGAGCCCTCGAGGCAATCTGCACAGTGGTCCAGGGGACCTAGGATCAGCTTGGGCACAAAGGAGCTGGACTCAGGTGGAGCAGCCACGGAGCCAGCACTGACCTAGAAGCTTCATTCTCCCCGAGGATCAGTAACTCTAGTGACCATTCACAAGTATATCCAGGATGTCCAGTGGGGACATGCTCAGGCACAAGAGCCACACTCTGGAAGAGCCCCTGAGACAAGACTTCTCATCTCATGCCCCCTGCCATTTAAGGGTCATTTGTGCCATCTGGTGATGTTGCCTAGTAACCCAGTTCACATTTCATTTTTATCAGGTTTCCATGGCAACCCACATTACTAGAAAGTTAGCCCAAGGTCAAGTTTGTTCTTAGAAAAAGTTTGACCTTCCCCAGATGGGGAGGGGGAAAGGAGAAGAAACTGAGACTCTTTGTCTTCTCTTTCTTCCACTTAGATACCACATTCATCAATGGAATGTTTAAAAATGAGGAAAGTGTGGCTGAAATGTTTGGTAAGTAAATCTGAAATTGCTTTTATCCACCAAGTGTCAGACATGAAATGTGTTTAGGAAATCTGAGGCAATGACCTGGGCCTTGGTGTCTGCCTCTGAGTGTCCACAGCCTCCCCAGCCAGCTTCAATGTCCCCAGGTCTGATGAGGGTAGTGATGGCTTTTGGTTCAGGTGAGTCACTGAGATGCCATGTGCCTTACTTCCTTGTCCTGACTACAGACCTTCCAGGAAGGGAATGATAGCCCCTCTTTACAGCTAGGGAAACAGCCCAAGGGAGTGAAGTGACGTGCCAGCCACCCAGCTAGAAGGGAGACTGCTGAGTCCAGAGTGTAGTCCCCTGAACAAAAATGGTCTCACTTCCCCCCTCAATAATAAATATATGTAAAACTTGAGGATTTTAAAGGCTGCCAAGCATCCTAATTATCAATTTCATAACCATTATACAACTGTTGGGTGCTGTGATGGTTCCTACTGTCAATTATTAACAGTACCCAAAAGTAAGAGTGTACTGTGGTTGACCACTGCTGTGGGGTTAGATGGTTAGTGATGCTACACTTAAAAATGCACATGTGACTCACAGCTGGCGCCCTGTGAGTCACACGTGCATTTTTGAAATCACAAGTGCATTTTTGAAATCACACGTGCATTGAATGAAAATGCATATTTACATAAACACACATGTAATCTTCAGAGAGACTTTCTCCATATTTTTTCTTTTAGGTAGGGCTTTTGGAAACAAAACCTAGGGAAAGAAGTTTGAGTGAGGTAGGAAGAAACTGGAGAACAGGCAGATGGACCAGTCCTCACACACACTCCTTCACACCCCCCTGCTGATCCAGACAGTAGAGTGGGTCATCTCCTTTAGCACCCAGTGACCCCACAGTCAGAGACAGAGAACAAGGAGGGCAGCAACGAGTCACAGAGTCAGAAACAGTCAGTCCTGTTTTCCTGCCTATTAGGTTGCTGCCTACTTCAGAGAAAATCATTATTCTTGGTTGGTATTGGGCATGGCTCTGACCATCAGTGTCCCTAACCTGTGAAACAGTGACAACAGAGCAACATGCACCTAGAAGGATTAATATGAAATTTATGGACTAATAGATGAAATAAATGCTGCCAACATCTTATGCACTCTATTGATCTAAACTTTTAATAGCACCTGGTACTGTGTCTGGCTCATAGGTGCTCAGAAACTGTGTGTCAGTACACCTTTCCTTGCTAGCCTGGCTTATAATTCTATAGTGTTACTTGTATGATTTTACTGTGCTATTTGTGAGATCCATTCAACAAACCAACCATAAAAGAAACAAATCATATAGATATTTCATTATCTCACACGACAGTGGTCTGAGGCACCAGAATGGATGAACTGGCTCAGGGCAGGTGTCAGAGACCCTGCAGGCCCACTCTGTCTTACTCTGCCTCTTCCCCAAGCATGCAGGGTATTAGCTTTAGGTTTGGGGCCTCATGGTTGAAACGTGGTCACAACCCACATGTCCTCACCTGCATTGAACAAGGGAAAGGTGTAGATCAAAAGATGTCCTTACGTGCCCGCACTCTTTCTCAGGAGAGAAGGAGTCCCAGAAGAAGCCTCACACAGACTTCCTCTTAAGTGCTTCTGGCAGATCTGGGTCGGAAGCTCATCCCTAGATCAATCACTGGCACAGAAGCATGGGGTCACCGTGCTTGACATGAAACAGTCTCAGAAACTGAGGCAAAGGCTGGCTTCTCTAAGAAATGTCAATTTTGTTAGGAAGGAAGGAGAAACAGATGGCTGTTTGGTGGCAGCCAGCAAGGACCATAGCTTACACGCCTGCTTCCCTTGAGCTATTCAGAGCAGTGGGCGCTCACTATGCTGACAAGGACACAGTGGGCGCTCACTATGCTGACGAGGACCCTGCAGCCCAAGGGATTGGGAGTCCAGGGAACAGGCTCCTCCTGGGCCTGGCTCCCAGTGCCCACCAGCCCCTGCACCGCTCCTCCCCAGACTGCCTGGGCCCCCGCTTCACCTGGCTGCAGGCCGTCTTCACCAACTTCCCTCTGCTGCTCCAATTTGTGCATGGAATGAAGTGCGTTGCTGATCTCTGTCCTCGGGACTTTGAAGACTATGGCTGCGCCTGCAGGTTTGAGATGGATGGACTCCCGATGGATGAGACGGACAGGTGAGCAGGACCCATGGGTGGACCCTGGGGGCCTGATGGATGGGAAGGGCCCTGGACTAGGCACTCACTTGGGAGAGGTCTCCATCCTGTTAGCTACCAGCAGGGTGATGCTTTCTCCTCTTTACATTGCCATGTGACCTGTGACCTGCTGTAGGTGGTGGGCACATACCAAGAGCCCATGTGATGGCCAAATGGCAAAGCTGCATTGTGATGTTGCTCAAAGTTTGGTCACCTGCATCAGAATCTCCTGTGTGGTTGTTAAAAATGCATATTCCTGGGGCTGGGGTTAGGGCTCAGTGGTAGAGCGCTTGACTATCTTGTGTGAGGCACTGGGTTCGATTCTCAGCACTGCATATAAATAAATAAAAACAAAGGTATTTAAGAAAATGCAGATTCCTGGGATCCATCCCAGACCTATTACTCAGGCTATCTTTAGGTGGAACGTGGAGGTCTACATTTAAACAAGCTCCCTTTGACTCTTCTGCATAATGAAATTTAAGAATAGTTTATTATTTGGAGCAGTTCTGGCCACCAGAGATGAGACAACTATGAAGGTTTCTATTCATTTTTTAACAAATAAAAACAAAAATATGATGATATATGAGCATTGTGCTTAAGAAAAGAGAAAATCACCCCTGCTTTAAAGAAGAAAATGTCTACTGTGGAAAATAAGAAAATCAAAGTGTCCAGTAAAGATATGCTCATCCACATGTACAAGGGAAGCGCCCACTGAGGCAAGATCCCAAGATTGTCAACGAAACCTGAAACCTAAAAGCAGGGATATGCCAGCAGGTACAGAAAGCAGGAGGGCCCTTGAGTTATGGAAATGCGGTGCTCTCTGTTAAAATTTTAAGGCATGTTGCCTGTGACCCATGATTCTAAGCCTCTTTTCCTTTCTGACTTTGCCATCTTAGGCAAGTTAAGTTGTTTGCTCTCCAATTTTAAAAGTTGCTATTAAGAACACCTACTTCATAGGGTTATAATTTAGTATTAAATCTCCGAATTCAAGTTAAGGCGGCCGGGCCTCTGCCTGGCTTATGAAGAAGGTACCCCAAGAGCACTAGTGACTGGTAGCCACAGTGGAAAGAGCTCTAGCAGCAGCAGGAGCCAGAGGGGACTGTGGTAGTCCCAGTCGTGCAGTAGCATAGCACTAGTGAAGTGGTGGTAATAATACCAGTGGCTGTAGTCATAGTAACAGCAGCATCGGCAGCAGAATCCATGTGGAAATGGGAAATGGATTCCCCAGGCCTCAACCCCGCCATGAACCATGCCCCTCACTCGCAGCTTTTACCCTTATGCCCAAATCCAGTGCAGTGGAGCGTGTGAGCCCATGTGGGCTCATAGAAGGTGGGAAGGGGTCCCGTATGTGATATGCTGGGCAGCTCCTGCTTGGCCTGCTGTTTCTCCTCCAGGACACCCTCTTCAGATATCTTGACCCCTAAGCACCAAGGAAACCTTTCTGCTCCCCAGACACCTGTTCCTACACAGGCAAGAGTGTGGGCACAGGGCCTGTCTCCCCGCTCCACTCCACACTATCTACAGAGGGTCTGCACCCTGTTCTTTCTCTGTGCTTCCGGCACTGATAATAATACCCGGCATGTAGTAGCAACTCAATGAGGTAACTATTGTCTAGGTAACCAACCTCCAATTGATTTTCCAAGATTCAAAGAACTAAACAATTAAATAAAAAGTGGTAAAAGCTTCAAATAAATAAATAACAATACTTGGATGACAAAGAACAATGGTTTTGGAATTAATAAATCCATCCCACCTCCAAACCTGCGAGAGTGTGTAGGTTTCCAGTGGATCAAAGGGGCAGCCTCCCACCTTAAGGACCAGGAGCAAACTGACTCCTGAAGAGGTTGGCTCTGCGTGGGGTATGGGCCAGGGCCATTTCTGGGAACCTGCTTTCATTTCAGGTCCACCCTTACCCCTTCATTTAATTGTTATAAGACCTTGTAAATCTAGCAGTTGGAGACATGAAGCAATAATTCATCACTGTCTCCCATCCCAGATGAAAGATCAAAGTGGAATAGTGGGCTGCACCCAATTTCAATTGCTTTATACAGTTCAGTGGGTGGGTGGGAACTTCCAAATTCCACAGTACAGGTTATTTCCGTCTTGAACTTACTACTAGACACCAAAAATCATTGCTGTTATTGATTGAGTGGCTGATACATAATAGGATCTAGATAGATCTTTACTTGATTCCTAGAAATCCTTGTGAGTTGTCCAAGGTCATCATTTGACTGTGTGATTTTTCTTCCTTACAATGCTCACTGATCTGTCTACACTGCAAGAGCCACCCAGCTCCAGCATCAGCATGTGTTGTGAACAAGCTGGACCTCGGGCAAGTCACAGCCTGTGTGTCTCAGCACCCACATATGTAAAGGACCATAGTAATAGTCACAGCTGGTGCCTGGGATCCACTTAAGGGATAGATGCATTAACCCTTGTCAAGCCCTAGGAACAGGGGCCACTGCATGGTAGGCACTCAGCAAATGTTAGCTGCTGTAACAAGCAGCAGTAATCATTGTCCTTATTCCTGTTGAGGAAGAGGTGTCTGATTGCAGGAACTCCTTTGCCGGCTTCATTCCCGTCCCTGCTCTGCCATGCAGTTCCCAGGATACTTTTCTAGCCCCATCCTTCTGCCCCAGGCACAGGATTGGAGTCCTGCGTGGGCCCTGCACCTGAGATTCTCCATTCCCAACGGGCTCATTGACTGTAAAGTGCTTAGAGCAGTCCCTGGAATGCTCAAAAATGGTAACTGTTAATAGTGAGCCTCTCTGAGACTCGGTTTCCTCCCAGCAAATACTGTAAATTTGAAAAAGGAGTAAGTTGCCCAAGACAGACCACAGGTCATCAGTGCAAGTAGACTCAGACCAGCTGCAGAGCCCCACTCAGCCTGTCCCAAGAGCCAGAGTGGCAGGGCTGGTGGCAAGGCTGGGACTGCATCCTCCCAAACAGTGCTGCTGGGTGGGCAAGGGGAGTAGAGAGTGACAACTCTCCCCGCTCCATGGCACCAGAGGGAGAGACAGGTTCCCAGTGTGGGGTGTCATCCAAGTGCCATGGATCACCTCCGCCTCAGCCCTTCCCCTTGCTGGTGTTCAGATACTGCTGAGCTCTGGAACCTGGGAGCCTCCCACGCTCTCTTCAAGCCAACAGAGCTCTCTATTTACAATGTTTGGCAGAGAATGTGGCCTTCCCTGGTTCTCGTTTTGTCTAGTTCAGATTTTGTTCTATCTTTAAGCAGCCGATCGCCCTGTGTTGTTCGACAGCATCCTATGTCCACATCTTGCTCTGTGCCTGTCCCCGACTCTGCCACTAAATTGCTGTGTGTCCTCAGAGAAGTCATTTCTCCTCTTTTGGCCCCAAAGTCCAGGTCTACACAGTGGTGTGAGAAGCTGCACATTCAGAGCAAAGGGTTGCCCTTTACATATTTTAATGCCATCTGGCACAACCCAAGCTCTTCTGGCTGAGAGAGCTGTTCTGTGTCTGACTGCTGAGGCACTGGGTCCAGCCCAGGTCTTAGTATTTAATCAATCACCTCACCTCTAGAATATGAAAGTTGCTCTTTCCTCTCTGTCTTCCTGCTCTTAATGGGATCTCAAACACCTTTTGCAGATACAAGGGGAGACAGAGGGTTTTAATAAAGAAGCCACCTGCCCACTAAGCTGCTCTGTGCATCTCAGGCAGGGCCTTCCATGCAGAATGATGTGAAGCCTCCTCTTCCCGTTGCTGCAGAGCTCCTGGGGTCTGTGTCCTTGGCCTTGTCTCCAGTGGTCAGTTCAAGCACCCGATAAGGCTACATCTGCCACCACCCACAAGCAGGCAGGAGATAGGGCAGTTGGCCACTGCACGAGGCCAGGCAGAGTTGGAGCCAAACTGCTGCTGTTTATGAGATGGGATGACTTCCCAGAAGGAAGTGGACAGTAGCAGGGAGTGGTAACTGAAGCACCTTCAGAGGCTTAGCATCTAGGTGAGGATGCTACCTGCCTGATCCTTACCTTCTCAGAAACACCTTCACACTCAGTCCTTAGGCTGAGATCCAGCCCATCCTGCTGGTTATGGAAGCCTGCGTGCCAGGCACATGCAGGACTGCCCTCTGATGCTTGAGAGTTAGCAGATGGTGTGTATGTGTGTGTGGGGTGTGTGTGTGTGTGTGTGTGTGTGTATGTGCGTGTACACACATATACACACACAGAGTATTTGAAACAGCCAGCTTCTGAGGTCATCCAGAGATGCAGGGTGACCTTGGGCTGCCCGCCTCTCCCCAGTCCTAACCCCGCTCACCCTACCCTGCTGCTGCCACAGCTGCTGCTTCCAGCACCGCAGGTGCTACGAGGAAGCCTCTGAGCAGGACTGCCTCCAGGACCCCTCCAGGCTCAGCGCAAAAGTCGACTGCATCAGCAAGAAGGTCACATGTGGTGAGCATCTGCAGGTGTCCTGGGGCTGGGTGGAGACCCAGGGACCCAGGCCTGAGTGTGGCTGAGGGGTCCTGGGGTCTCTGCATCGTTGTTGCCATTGGCAATGTCATTGGTAAGGGTTAGGTACCCGAGGCCTGGGTCGGTGGCATCTGTAGCTGGCACAGAGTAGATGTGCGATAAACGTTTCTTTAAATTGAAGCCATGGTCGATCAGCAAATTATATGATTTGTAATTTTGTAATTGTAGCAACCCTGGGGCTTGTGAGGGGCAATTAGTTTGCTGCTTTTGCATTGTGGACATTGGGTGGGGCAATCACTAAAGTTCTCTGAAGCTCACTATGGGGAGGAGAAAACCTACTTCAGGGTTGCATTATGAAGTAAGCAATGCTGGTAACATGACCTCTGCAGTCACCGTGTACACTACCTCAGTGACGTCCCTGGAAGTGGAAGTGGGGATGAGGGCATGAGGCCCACGGTGGCTGCCATCTGTAAGAGTCACCACACACAGGGGCAGGTCTCAGCTCTCCACCTTGTCCAGGACTCACATTCCAAGTCTTCGGCAATCCTGGTGGAAGTAGAGCAGGTGAAGGCACAGAGGCAAGGCCTGCTGGACCAGGTTAAGGCCATCTTGACGCACACCTGGTGGACGGTCTTTATGCACAGCTGCTCTAACCCCCCTGACAGACCCATGAGATGGGGACCTTTGTTCAGTTTTCAGACAAAGGAGGGAAAAGCCAGAGAAATTAAATAACCTGCCCAGAGTCACATAGCTGCCCAGTGGCAGGACCACAGGGTCTGGACCCAGGGTCAGCTGACTCTCAAGTCCAGGTCACAAGGACAGGGTGGTGCATGGGGTATCAAGGAAGGATGGAGGGAGGCGCTGGCTGTGAACCAGTGGTCGAGGGACCTGTGAGCAGAGAGCAGGACCCATCCATTGACGGCCAGCCCTGGGTGAGTGCCTACACCAGCAGGGACAGTCACCTCAGTGTGGGGACTTCCTGACCTGCCATACTGTCCTCACAACTGTCAGACCCTGGTAGTCCAAAAGCAAGTGATGTGTCAGGTGGTGACAAGAGCTGTGGAGGACGAAGAGTCAGGGAAAGGCAGGGCTGGCCTGGGCCCTGTTAGGAAGGAGGAGCCTCCTGGGGTGATGGCGGCTGGGCAAGGAGGGGCGGGAGCCATCCCAGCAGCTCCCAGGGCAGGGGAGAGGCGACCAGGCAGGGCACTAGGGTGGCCCGAGGCTCCAGGTGCCTGGAGCACTTGAGAAACAAGGGGGACAGAAAGACAGGTGAGGAGGGGTGTTGGAGAGGAGGACAGCTGCAGGGGGACAATCCTGCAAAGTTCCCTAGGCCACGTCAGGAAGTCATTGCAGCGTTCTGAGTGAAGAGCCATGCTTACCTGAAGTGTATTCTGTCTTCCCGATGAGGACACAGAGGTCACGGTGGGCAGGGACGGGGCCAAGCTGGGAGGCCACCAATGCCATCAGGCAGGAGATGACAGTGGCTCCGTGGGGGGGGGGGGGGTGGCGTGGAGATGTGGAGATAGGGCCAGACTAACTCCAAGGAAGGTGGAGCCCACAAGGCTGCCTGTGGATGCCTGTGGATGCCTGAGTGTGAGGCCAAGGGCCACTGTGACTCCCAGGCAGGTCCTCTGAAGCAGTGGCACTGATGTGAGTGACAGGAGGAAGGTGGCAGGGGTGGTGGCCTCATGGGGCGCATTGGGAGCTTGGCTGTGGGACTCCTGTGACCTCTGAGACCCACTGGGATCTCTCTCCACCCTGCCCTGCCCTTGCTCTGTGCCCAGAGTCTGCAGACCCTTGCAGTCACTTGCTGTGCACCTGTGACAAGGCTGCCCTTGAGTGCCTGGCTCAGTCTGGCGTCAACTCCTCCCTGAACCTTGTGGACACCTCCTCATGCCTGGTTCAGACTCCAGGTAGGAAGCACGCACGGGGCCCTGTGTCAGAGCTGGCGTGGGACGGGCTGTTGGTGGGTTTCCCGGGGTCCACGCACAGCACCTTCAGCCAAGTCCCAACCCGCTCCCTAAACACTCCTGTGCACTTCCCTTCCAGAGACGAGCAGCAGGAAAGACACCACAGCTCTGCTGCCTGGAGGTGAGGCCACCCGGGGAAGCTGGCTCTTACTGGGAATACCAGGCCCTGGGGTGAGGACAGCTGGTGGACACCCCTCCTTTACCAAGCCCACCTCACAGAAGCTGGAGCACCCCGTGACATCTGACTTGTCCCCACCTCCCGCAGCTAGAAGATGTGATTATTTCTGATAAGCCCAGTGCAGACACCCAACATCAAATGGGCCCATAGCAAACTCTGTCCCTTGCTAATGGTTGGCTCCACAAATGGACTGTCTGTGATTCGGACCAAGGTGTCAGCTTAACCCAGTGAGGACAGAGATCCCAGTTCTGTCTCCCCACTCTCCGTCTCCAGTCAGATTCCTTGGCATGGGCATGTCTAGGACAGGACCTGGTGCTCAGAGGAGCAAGGCCCTTTCCAGCTGCATGGACTCCTGGAGACAGACCCAGGCCTCCCCTGTCCTCCTTCCCATCCCTCCTTGTGCTGACCAGAGCTGGGCAGAAGGGGCAGCCTGGATCCAGCCCAGGCACTTAGAAGGGGAAGCTGTTTTCATGTGTCTTTTCTGGACAGGTTTGATTCTTCATCACGGTCCACCGAACCGAGCAAATGATATTTCTTACTGTAAAATGTGGATTTTAGGAAAAGACGGGAGCCAAGTTTATGCCTGCCAGTCCTAGCTCACCAAAATCTCCATCAGCTCTCAATCCTGGCACCTTTGGGCACCTGGGGATGGGAGGATGGGAGGCCCCAGGTGCACCTTGGCAGAACATCCCTCCTCTCCTGGGGCAGGGGCCTCTTCCAGAACTAGCTGTGCAGCGTTTGCTAAAGAGCAAACGTGTGTGTGTGTGTGTGTGTGTGTGTGCATATGCATATGAGTATGTGTGTAGGTGTGTGTGGGGGATATGTATGTGGGTAGATGCTTGGGTATTTAAGGGTGTACACACAGGGGCTGTGGGTATGCATGCTATATTTCTGTGTCTTCCGAGTCCACATCCATCACGGAGGGCTTGAGTCCTCTGCCATCTGTGCTGCCTCTTGAACAGTTGACATACTGTAGGAGGTGCTGGGCATTTGCAATCTTCTCACTCCCTTCTGCCCATGTCTGATAGGGCCTACCTTCCCCATCAGAACCCCGCCATTTCTGCAGTTCCTCCTGAGCTGGTGACAAGATCACCTTGTCACTAGCTGGGCGGCCCCTGTTTTGGGGGGGGGTTGGAGATCAAGGACACCCTCATGCAGGATGGACAGCTCCCCCTTGGCAACCTGTGCTCAGCCCTCCCCCAACCCCAGCTCCATGGTCCCTCGGTTCCCAGACGATTCTCCTTCTACTCTCTGTGCTTGGTCCTGACACTGTGTTGCATGGTCAGTGCTGTCCGGGTCTCTCTTTCCCCAGTGGCTCCTGCAGAACCCACAGATGCCAGCCTGATAGCCGTCTCAGGAAAAGGTGAGCAAAGAGGGCTGGTGTGGACCCCAGTATCCTCATCTCAATCGAGCTACCCCCCACCTGCTGGCACCTGCTTCCTTAAAATTGACCCTGCTTGCTCGGTTATGGAACTGACCAAGTGCATTCCAGAGCCCCTGGTTCTTCCTGACCCCAAATCTCCTCCCTCACTCTCCTGTCCCCATCGCTGGATGACTACCAAGTAAAGGGCAGCATGCCCACCCTGGTAGAGCTCAATTTCAGAGGAGCACCTTTATGAGATAAGTGTGTTTCAGGGATTGCATGAAACAACACCAAAAACTTATTTCTTGTTCATCTGAAATCCAGAGGTAGCTGGGCATCCCATAGTTTTGCTTTCTAAGTCAGGCCAGCCTGCCCCTCAGAAGGTCACTCTGCATACCACCTTCCCAGAGTTGGCTCTTTCCCTCCTCCAGAGCTGCTGATGCTGGGCCAAGAGGCTTGGAGCAGAGGCCATGCTGCTCTTTCCTCCTGGCCGTCCCCAAAGTGGCCAAGGGCAATTCATCCAATAGCTCCCAGACAGCCTGCCCTTAGGTCCATGTTCAGAGAGAAGAGAAAATATCACCCAAGTAACACCCCACTCTATATCCTACCCAACAACCAGCCAAGCATGACTGACAGGGGCGATTTGCATTCTCTTCGGGGCAAATTCTCCAAACTTGAGGAACTGCTGTGCAATCCTGGCCCCATCAGACCACCATGAAATAACCCTCAAGTGGCACATTCTCCAAAGTCTGAGTTCTTAAGCTTTAACTGTCCTCTCCTTGGGGTATGAAGGAAGCACAGGGTTTATCTCTGGGAAAGACGGAAAGGAAATGAGGTTCCTTGAGGTGTCTAAGGCCTAGATGGAGGTGGCTGCCTGCACACGCACTCACACACGGGGACAGGCATCCCTCCAGGCAGAGGCCACCTGCATGTGGGGTCAAGAAAACATGTCACACTGTGCAGGTGGGGGAGTTTGTGGAAAAAAAAAAAACACAACAGATTGTCACTGTCTTCACCATCCTATCACCATACCATTGGGTTAATTCAGGGTACATTCAGGGTCCAATCCTGGCCTCTCCATTTTTCAGCTGTGTTGGACAGGTTGTTAAGGACAGGTTGTACCTGTCCCTAAGTGTGGCATGAGTAGGCCCTGCAGATACTGGACCAGCCTCTGCCAGGAACCTGGTGTGACTATGTAAAACAGCAAGCACATGCCACCAATCAAGCTGAACCCTGGATGACCTGCTTGTAGTGTATAATTGCATTTAATGCTCAAACGACTCTAGGAAAGAATTGCCATGATGTCCATTTTAAAATAATAAATTGAGGTGCAGAGGCAGTATCCTCAGCACACAGCCAAGTGGCAGGGCGGCTGGGACAGGAGGAAGGTCCTGTCATTACCTCTAGACCAGCTTCTCTCTGCAGTTGCCTTCCGTTAGGACGGCTCCAATCTGGGGAAGTAATGGCCTCTCACTCCTAAAGAGGTTTCCTGCTGGTCTTTCTGCCTGAACAAGGCCTGGCCCTGACCCACTGGACTGGAACCTCCTAAGGCACCGTGTGCGGCCACAGCCCTGACATGTGGTCATGGCTTTCACTTCTCGGTCCTCACCCCTGGCAGGTGACCTCTCTGGGCTCAGGGCACCCACCTGGATCCATAACTGAAGCTGGGCGGCTTCTTTGCACAGTGGCTCCTGAGACCAGAGGCGGAAGACTGGTCATTCTCTTGAGGATAAGTAAGCAGACAGATCCTGAAGGAGGCAGGCAGGGTCCGGTGGAGAGGTGCCACCAAACATGTGCTCTGTTCCAGTGACTAGTGACCTCTTAATGGGCCCAGAGGAACTATTTTAATCATTTCACAGAATATGCAGGACACTGAGGCTCAGGGAGCTTACAGTTCTAAGTCACTCGGCAAGTGACCTGGCGGCCTGGTCTCTGAGTCCAACTTGAGGCTGTGTGACTATTTTCTTCCATTATTCTATGGTGACACAGAACACACTGTCTTACCTAAAAGTATCTAGGCCAAAATTTCTTGGTGGAATTCACCTGGCCATTTGCTTTGCTTGTGGTGACTAAAAACCATGGAGTCTTTATTTAAAAAGTACAAGGAACTGAGAATAAAGACCTGCTAGTCACTCAGAACGAACAAGAAAGCAAATGGACCCCGGGCAGTGGCTTTGCCGGGCTGGTGTATTTCTGAGTCCCTTCCTGCTGTCCCTCTGAGGAGTCCTGGCTGGTCCTAGGCTGGTCCTAGGAGCCTGTTGCAGTCCCCACGTTACAGATGCAGAAGCCCAGAGGGTAGCATGGTTGCCCAGGTGGCTCAGCTCAAGTCCTCGCTCTGGGTCTATAGATTTTGTTTTTGAAGGGATCAGTCTGCCCAGTGCCTTCTCTTCCCCGGAGCACAGTGCCCTGGCTGGAGAACTCCCAGCCTGGTGTTCACACAGTGCCGCCATTTCGGTGTGAGCATGTGACAGGGAAGGCGGTTTCTCATTTCCACAGAATTTTCCCTGGGCATCTCTGGCTCTTTGTGGTCCAGTGGGACGTGGCGTGGTAGCTGATCAACCCTAACCCTAATCCAGCTTCATCCAGGCAGCCTGGCTTGCACCTGCCTCTTCCCAGCTCGGTGGCCTGGAGAGTGGCTGACTTTCCTGCCTGTCCCCCTCTAAAGGAGCATGAGCATGCTACTGCCAGCTCATGGGTTGTCCCAGAGTTAGAGTAAGAGAGTCCTGTTGCCAGGTCAGAGACAGTAAGTGCTTAATAGCTACCACAGTCACTCACTTTACAGAGAAGCAGCCAGCACCGTCCACCATGCATTCTGCTGTCTCTGTACTGCATGCTCTCTGGTCAAAAATGCGATTTTTCTTTTCGTCTTTCTGTCCTCCAAATTCTGGAGAAGCCACATTCCCAGGTATTGCAACAAACTCCCCTGCTTCCAGCCCACGCGCTGCAGCTGAATTGACAGTGAGCCTATGTTGAGGCCGGGGTCCTCTGACCTCTCTTCTGCTCTCCCACAAGCCCTCACCACGGAAGACAGAGAAAGGGCAGCAGGAAGAGAACTTGACTTCCTGCACCTGGAGCAGGGGAGGCATCTGGCCCCCAGGTGGGACAGGCCAGGTCAGCACTTACCCTGTCTCTCCTCTCTCTCCTCTTCCAGAGCCAGGCCAAGATCGGGAAGGCACGGAGGCCGCTAGGGCCACGCCCCCTCCAGGTAAGCACACCTGGCTCCTTCTTCCTGTATATGTCATCATCCCCAAACATTTATGAATTCAAAGCATTCCAGATGAGACTTGAGGCCAAACCCCAAATGGAAGGAGTCACGGAAGCCAATGTACTTTTACATTCCTGTCCATCCAAAAAGGGCACAAATAAAATCAAAAGATTCTTTAGGAAGAAATGGGAGATATCTGGTAAAAAGATGCATTCAGAAAAACACAGAAAATTACTTTTAGCTCCATTTAAGTCACTCATAATTCGACAAGACAAAGACACTTTTAATATTTGAAGATTTTTTTCCCAGTCTTCCTCTAGCATATCTATGAGCATAACTTGCGACTGCTTCATGTCCTTGCTTTGTAGTCGAGGTGTGTCTGAAGCAGTGTGGGGCAGCACCCTGTCATTGGACATGACAGTAGACATCACATTTCTGTAACATGAGTTGTAGTGCCTGTACAATGTCTCCTTATATGGAAACAACTTATTTAACCAATCACTTCCAACATTTGTTATTATGAATGGTAGATACATACTTTATGCCCATCTGCTTCTCATTAACTTGTTTGGGTAAATACCAAGAGGGAAGATTGCTGGACCAAGGGCAGAACCCGGCAGCTTTGCTGGTCATCTGATGCTAAATTATGAGGAGAAGCCTGCGGTGCTGCACAGGACGAGGAAGTTGGAGATTGGCTTCATCCTTGTACCACGAGGTGGCCTTTTCCTCCATTCCCTTTGCTGTGGGTGTACTGACCATCCACAAACAGGCCTGAGGAGCCACCACTGTTCTGTGCATGAGCTGCCACCCCTGTGGTCGAGTGTAGGCTCCCGTCAGTGCTAGGACCTCTGTAAACACTTGGAAATCCTCACATAGAACTCGTGGACCCCGAGGACCTGCTGCCATGTCTGCAGACCCAGGTGGGGGCACAGTCTCCCAAAGCTCCTGTGCTCTGAGACGCCTTGTCCATCTGCAAACCTGTCCTTGAGCTGCTTTTTTGAATCTTAACCCTCAAGGTGTGCATTTTAGGATCTGCAGAGGTTGCTACAGCCAAAGAGGCCACCCTCATCCCTGCGGGCCTTAAATCCTCGGGGCTGGCGGTGCCATCCTCTGCAAGTGGACCTGAGGAGGCAACTAGAAAAGGTAGGCAGAGGCTGGCAGCTGGAGGATGACTGTCCTCCCACCCTGAGATCCTGAGGTTAGGCTGTTGACAGGGAACCTGGGGCCACCTCGTCTGATTGCCGGCTTCTGACATTGTGGGGTATCCTCCCCGTAATGATCAGCAGAGTGAGGCTCCAGGGCATGTGACTTGTCTGTTGTCACTGGCTGTTGTGAGGCCAAACCTGGGTCGGAGCCAGGGCCTTTCCACCCTTGGCCTGCTGCTCCCACAGCTCTGCCTTTGATGGCCCAGATGGGAAGAGCCTGCCATGGTCCACACCAGGGTTTACTGTAAAGAATGAAGCACTTGGGTCTTAATAATCCTTCCCCTGTCCCTCTTCCCACTGATGTCTTATTAAAGGCCCCGTACCTGCAAGGAGCCACTGTCAGCTGGGTCCAGAGGAAGCCTGGTTGATGTCTGAACAGACCCTCTCTGGAGGGCAGTGCACAGATGTGGAGAAAGTTGCATTTGAAAGTTGTAGGCAGAGGAGAGGGTAGGAGGGTAGAGGCTAAGGAACAAACACAGGAAAAGAAAACCAAGGGCTCAGAAAGACATGGCTGCCAAGTGTGCTAGCTTAACTTGGCCCAGAAGTCCAAGACTTCTGGACAGACAAGACTGCTTACGATGCTCAGCTCTGTCCAGTTATAAAGACCATCCTTGGTCCCAGCAAGTCCCCTTCCCTTAGGATCTCATGGAGAGTCTGGTAGAGTATTAGAAGCCAGGGAACAGTGTATCTGTGACACAGTGTATACCAAAGAGAGGACCAGCCACAGCCCCATTCTGTCAGAGGTTTCCTCGTGCCACCCAGGGCTGTCCTCGTGCAGCCTGGAACACGGCCCTCCTCTTGGCAACTCTGCTGACATTCTTTGATCTCCTGAGAGTCTCTGTTCCCAACCAGTCTGTGACAGACTCACCTTCCTGCACCTGGGGAGCGAGGACAACACGCAGATGATGCTGCCACTTGGGGAGATGCTCTTCTGTCTGACGACCCGGTGTCCGGAGGAATTTGAATCTTATGGCTGTTACTGTGGACGAGAAGGAAGAGGCGAGCCCAGGGATGCCCTGGACAGGTATGGCAGGTAGAGGGTGGCAGGCGAGGGAGGCCGAGGCCATCCACAGCAGCGAGAGCCAAGAGGCCACAGCTGTGCTGCATTTTGCCTTCAGCCTCACAAAGAGTTTCTGCAGGCATTGGGCAGCATGTGGGCCAATCTCCTGATGAGCAGCTGGGGTGCAAAGGCTGACTTGTCTGCAATTCCTCCCCTAGTTGAAAGGGCCAAGTCAGACTAGTCCAGATCTTTTGATTTGGGAATCTAGCAACACCACAAATACTGCTCAGCTGCCATGAGAAGGCTGGTCTGCAAAGACACTTCAGAGGATCCTAAACCTATCTATGATGCAATGGCCAACATACAGATTTGGGGTCTTCACTTGGTTTGCCCTACAGAAGGTCCCATTGAAATGATCTTCTCAGCAACTTTTAACTGTTAAATTTTATTCCCACCACCTTTGGAAGAATTCTGATTTTACGCATTCATTGATTGATGTTCATTCATTGATGTATGCAGTTGACCCACATTTCTTGAGGTTTTGCTCTGTGCCAGGCTGTGCTAGATGGTGGGGATACAAAAGTGACTGCAGCTCAGTAAAGCAATACCACTTATGGCCAATAGAAGTTTGCCTAGTGAGAGATGGAAAATTAAGCAAAAATACCACATGATATGATAAACATAGAAGCAACAGGAAATTATGGAAGACTCCATCAGAGTTTCAGCAACATTCCAAAAGTGGAGCTGATAATGTTTAAAGATAATTGTATTTGGAAATCAACCCCCCACCCCGACCAGTGGAGCCATCTACTTTCTAGGGTGCTTGTCCCTGTCAAAAAATTGTGAGTTGTTGAGTGCCCCTGAGTTCAATCCCTGATACCATAAAAAAAAAAAAAAAATTCTCTAAATCTATGACTCATCCCTGCTTGGTCTGTGGTCTTCAAAGGGAGCCAGAGTCATGAAAGGGCAGGGAAGTGTTGGAAAGGGAGGTTTGGGGCAGCAACTGTAGCTCCCTATTGGCTACTGCCATCACCGCTGTCCTAGGATATCCATCTGACTAGGGGGACACTGGAGATTATAAGGCTACATCTGCTCAGAAAGGCAGGTCCAGAAACAAGAAACAGATTTACTGTTCTCAGGTGTTTACGGAGGTCCTGCTGTACACTGGACGCTGTTCTAGATCTAGGCCCTCTTTATGCTTCAGATACTCACTGTGCTCTCTTTCAGCTGAGGGTGAGTGCCCTAAGAATACAGGATTAAAAGACTGGATGAGGGGGTCACTGCTAGTCTATATGGGTCCTCTGTGCAAACTAAAAATAAGTACCCCTTCTTGAAGATTCCTATTTCCATCTTTTGAAAATTACCATAATAAATATGCAAATCACCCATATTTGCCATCAACAGAGTCACAATAAAAATATAAAATTTTTAAATAATAGGGTTCATATAATGTGATTGATGCTGCCCTGCAGGTGCCCTGAACAACCACACGCAGGGTGTGTATGAGTCAGCCCCATGTGCACAGGGCAGGAGGCACTGGCTTCTCTCACTACCACAGGGAACCTGGGTGCAGGCCTCGAGGGTCCTGGGTCCGTGGGGAGCTCCAAGGAGTAAAGGGCTTTCTGGATCTTAGGTGCTGTGTGTCCCACCACTGCTGCCTGGGGCGCGTGAGGCGGCTGGGCTGCGTGCTGGAGAGGCTTCCTCCGTCACCGGTGGTGTGCGAGGACCACAAGGTCAAGTGTAAGTGCTGCTGCTGCACAGTGAGTTCTCAGCTCAGCTCAGCTTCCGGAGGCTTTCCCAGCCCCTTCAGAAGAGGTTTCCCGGTGCCTTGTCCCCCTGCCCATCAGGAGGTGCACATCTCTCAGGCTTTGTAGCCAGAAAGGAAATGCTGCCCTGAGGTTTTGTTCCTCCTCAGTCTTAGGAGGGGAGCCACTGGCTGGGCCTTCCTCCCGCTCCTGCCTCTCCACTCCCTAAGCACAGCGCATGGAGCTCTGGGTGGTGTGGGACCATTGTCATTTATGGACCATGGGTCCCTGGTGCTGTGTGCTCACGTGTCCCTCACCCACCTGCTCTTTTATCCACCTGGCCAACAAACCCTCATCAGGAACCAGCAGAGTAGTGAAGCTGCCTGGTCCTTGCCTCCAGTCCCTCAGCCTGCAGGGAAGAGACCAGGATCTCATGCAGCATGTGCTAACAGGGGTACTGGGCGTGGGCACAGGGGGCCTGGAAGGAATCAGAGGGGGTGGTGAGGGGAGATGGCAGGAGGCTCTCCGGTTTCCATACTGTCATGCTGGGCATGGGCATGGGGAAGGAGAAAAACCATGGTATTGTGTAATGCCCTGAGGCTTCAGAACAAAACATGGGTCTATATTCTGGAAGAGAAAGTAGAGTGGGGGCCTTGAGTGGCACAATGTGAAGAGAGCTAGATAGTCACCAGATCATGAACCTGAAGGAGCCAGGAGCAAGACTCAAACACATTTTTTTCCTGCAAGGGACAGGAGCCAGGGGTGGGTTTTGTACCTTGGAGTGGCAGGATTAGGTAGATATCATGTCCTACTGCTGCCAGAGGCTCGCTCCCTCTCCTAGGATCAGAGTCCAGAAGAGCGGCATCTGCAGGGGAACCCCGTGCAGCTCCAGTCCAGCCCTCTGTGACCCATGAGCTCGTGTCCTGCACCAGGTGCTCCATGGTAGATCATGGGAAGTGAGGGCATCTCGGAGCCTGGTCTGTGCTGTTTGGATCCTAAGTGCAGTGTGAAAAGTCAGAGCTCCTCCAGAGCAGAGCCTGGGTGATCTCCTCTCTGCACTGGCTCCTCCTTCTCCTCCTGATTCCTGTTGCTGTCTGTGGCCCATGTAGGGGCCAATTCAGGAAGTTTAGAAGGTTTGTGTGGTACAGGGTGAGAAAAAAAAAATAGTTTAATGCTTCAAGTAAGTTTAGACAGGAAAACATACCACACACACACACACACACACACACACACACACACAACCGAGAACTTTAGCCCACTGAAAACTACAGATGACACAGATATTTGCAGAAATCTTATCTAAGTCTAGCACCTTCAGATATGCCAACTCATCTGAGTCACACCACCCCCTGGATGGGACTTACGCATTGAAGCAAGAGTAGGCTTTCCAGAGCCTGCAAGAAAAACTACATGAAGCCTAGGAAAATTCAAATTTCAAATATACAGGGATAACTTTTTAAATATATGTCTTAAGTGATCAAACTTTCAGACATATTATCTGAAATTCAAATTTAAGAGGTCATCCTGTATTTTTCTGTTACTATTAAAATAGGGTTGACAAATGCTGATCAGGGAGGGAGGACATGCTAGTTGAGTCCAGCGAATATTACTTGGAAAATACAAGTTGAGGAGTGAGTTACGTGCTCAGACATGTGGATTGGTCCTCACGGTGCTGTCCAGCAAGAGGGAAGAGTGAAAACTTACACAACTGCTGTGTGATGTGATCATCTCAGAGCCTGCTAGGATGGGAAGAACCATCTGGTGGGTTCAACTGGAGCCCCAGGAAAGACACTTCCTTCCCGGAGGCTGTCTGGAGGAGGGGATGCCAAGCTGAGTCCAGACAGACAAGCATGAGTCCACCAGGCAGAAGGCTGAGCAGCCCCTGCAGAGGGTCCCTCACCAGCTGGAGCAAGACCAGATGCCAAGAAGGGGCCTGGGAGGGGACTGGAGGGGACGGGCTGAAGGAGCAGCCAGGAGGCCAGGGAGGCCCTGGGTGCTGTCCCATTCTCTCTCATGTCTGCTACTCTGCTTTTGCCCTCTAGGTGTGGGGCAGAGCCTGTGCCAGAAGCTTCTATGTGCCTGTGACCAGACGGCAGCCGAGTGCATGGCCTCCGCCTCCTTCAACCAGAGCCTCAAGTCACCAAGCGGACAGGAGTGCCAGGGCAGGCAGATGTCCTGTGAGGACAGCACGCTCGGAGGGTGCTCTACTGCTTCTGTCAGCTCTAGCTCCGAGGAGAACAGCGAGGAGGCAGCACCTGGCACAGAGAGCCTCAAAAGAACCAGAAGATTTCTGGGGAAGGTACTTGGTCCCTTGGGGACCAGGCCACACCACAGCAGATAGATTCCAGTGGGCAGGACAAGCGTGCCCTGTAGCTCTGCTCCTGCCTGCCTTAACTCTTTGGCCCTCAGACCCCTCTACATCCACTGGAGCCTTAGCAGAGATGCAAAGGGGACAGAGGCAGAGCGCCTGGCCCGCGAGCATCCCCACATCTGCCAGCTCACACAAGAGCGTGCACCGGAGGAGGCAGCGGCACAACTTCTGAGTTTCCCGTAGTGTACTTTGGAAGTTCAATAAATATGCCAACCCATGTTCTGCTTATTTATTTTAAGGACTGTTTAGTTGTAGATAGAGGCGCATGAGTGGAGTGTGAAGTGAGATCACCAAAACCATATTATTTCCTCTGTTGTCTCTGTCACCCCACCTTCCGATCCACTCACACACCAGTATCTCAACTCCGGAATCACTGAAAGCTACTTTTTTCTTTTATCAAAAAAAAAAAAAAAAAGTAGAGGGCTGGGGATATAGCTCAGAGGTGGAGTGTCCAACATTCATGGGCCCTGAGGTCAATCCACAGTACCACAAAAAGACAGGTGGGTCTATTTGATCACCTGTGCATTACCAACAAGCTACGAGTGACATAGGCCAAGGACAGGCAATGACAGCTCTTCTGGTATGTGCCCTAAAGTGCCTGCTGAAACCAGTCTTGGAAATCAGGATGGGTGTTGCAGCACATGACTAAACCAGTCAGGGTCACTCCAGGTGAACTGGGCTGGCATGAAATATACGTATTCATATATGAACGGAGGAAATTTATATATATCCAATTCATTCTACTCTTTCCTATTCCCATCCCCGCTTCCCTTCATTCCTCTTTATCTAGTCCAATGAACTTCTATTCTTCTCCCCCTTTTATTGTGTTAGCATCTGTGTATCGGAGAAAACATTCAGCCCTTGTTTTTTGGGGACTGGCTTATTTCACTTAGCATGATGGTCTCCAGTTCCATCCATTTACCAGCAAATGCTATTTTATTCTTCTTTATGGCTCAGTAATACTCCATTGTGTATATATACCATATTTTTTTATCCATTCATCTGGTGAAGGGCACCTCAGTTGGTCCCACAGCTTAACTACTGTGAATTGAGCTACTATAAGCATTGATGTGACCGCATCACTGTAGTATTCTGATTTTAAGTCTTTTGGGTATATAATGAGAGCAGGATAACTAATCAAATGTTGATTCTATTCAAAATTTTTGAGGAATCTCCATACTGCTTTACAAAAGTCAAATCAATCAAAGGAGAAACTAATTCAAATTAAAAATCAGAAATACATGAAAATGACAGGGAATAAAAATCATTTCTTAATAATATTGAATATAAATGGCCTAAACTCATCAATCAAGAGACATAGACTGGCAAATTGAATTAAAAAACAAGACCCAACAATATTCTCTAAGAGATTCATCTCATAGACAAAGACATCCACAGACTGAAGGTAAAAGGATGGAAAAAACATATCATTCTAACAGATCTCATAAATAAGCAGGGGGTTCTATCCTTATATTGGATAAATTTGACTTTATAAGCAGGGGTTCTATCCTCATATCAGATAAAGTAGACTTCAAGCCACAGTTAATCAGAAGGGCAATTCATACTGCTTAAGGGAATTATACAGCAAGACATAACAATCATAAATATTTTTGCCCCAAACAATGGATCACTTACATACATCAAGCAAATCCTTCTTAATTTCAAGAATCAAAAAGAGCACACCACCATAATATTGGGTGACTTTAACACACCTCTCTCACCACTGGATAGATCCTGGAAACAAAAACTAAAAAAAGAATCGATAGAACAAAAAAATACAATTAATAATTTAGACTTAACAGACATACATAGTCATCCATCAATGACTAAAAACACTTTCTTCTCAGCAGCACATGGATCCTTCTCTAAAATAGATCATATCTTAGGCCACAAAACAACTCTTAGCAAACACAAAAAAGAAAAAGAAAAAAGAGAGATAATACCCCACATTCTATCAGATGATAATGGGATCAAATTAGAAATCAATGATAAAATAATATGCTATTGAATGACAAATGGATAGCAGAGGAAATCAACATTTTCTTAATAAGTTGACTCTCCTGCTCTCTAAAACAAGTGTTTGGTATCTTTTTGTCTTTCTTCAAATCCCCAGCTTCACGCTCACTCTCAGCCGATGACTGTCTCGAACATTGAAGGCTTGATATTTTACCTTGTTTTCAACCTAACAAGTTAGTTTGTGGTTCATGGATGCTGGCAAAAGACCTGAAACACCTGGGTCAGAGACAAAGGACTTCTTACGGCAATGGCAGTAACCTGAGTGTGGGCATCTGTGCTGCTTCCCCAGGCCTACAGGCAATGCAAAGGCCAGGGGTGAAACCCTCTGACTCCGTGAAACTATTCTTCACAGCACTGAATTAGACAGGCAGTCAGTACACACAGATAAATGGAGTCAGGTCAGGTCAAGGAGGCCTGTTTGAGTGAGTCCAGGAAGTTGGAGACTGTGCCCTGAGGGATTGAAATGTTAATTCCTTCAGAGCCCTTCCTCCACTCTTAACAAGAACATGCCAAGGAGGCAACAACCTGTTGATAAGGTAACCTGTCCCAGGGATTGCACCCCCCCCACCAGGGAGTCATAAGTTTTAATTAATGTGTCCAGGCTGCTCCACCTGGCCCTTCCCCCATCCATCTGCTTTTCACCTTTTGGCCATCCCAAGAGCATTTCCTGGGCCTAGTCACATACATAGGAAGGAGAGAGATGAGGGGAAGGAGGCAGAACAAAGGAAGTTAGGACATATAAACAGGCCAAACACCTTCACTTCTTGGGATACCAGCATAGTATCTATGGACCCCTTCTTCCTCCTGGGAGAAGTCTATGTTACCCCTTTTTAAATAGACCCTGCTTTATATGCTTGCCTCGGTGTGTTTCTCTAATGTTATACTTCGATATGTGAGGGAGCAGGACTCGTCACCAGAAACTGGGGTATCACAACTACCCTGTAGGCTGGATCATAAACAGCTGGAATTGGAAGAGAATTTTGAGATATGTTTCCAGAGATCATGATTCTGATGCAATTCCTCCCCACCCACAGTGCAAACTAATAATGAGAGAAATAGACTCTTTTTCTCTTTTAGTTTATATGCTTCCTAGCACATCTTCAGATTTCAGATACTTTCCTAAGAACATATTTTGAAAAATATATTCTTTTAAACCAAGTAGGACACCACTTTAAAGCAAGTAGGATGGCTTTAATAGAAAATATGAACAAAAAGAAACTGTCAGCAAGGATGTGAATTTGAACGCTCACATACTGCTGATTGGAAATGGTGCATTTTGGAAAAAGACTAGCATTCCTCAAAAATTTACATGGGATGTTTGTATTATTTAGTACAACCCCAAGGGATGAAAACCTGTCTACAAATGTTTGTCACAGCATTACTTATTACAAACTGGCAGGGCAATGAAGGTGACTTAGGAACAAAGCACCAAGCAGCCCACGCAAGTGAAAGAAACACCGATCAGTAGGGTCTCCTGGCAATCCAGGAAACCAACTCCAGTGGGACAAGGGACTCTAAAAACCCCTTTTCCTGTCCCAAGCCCTCCCTTCCTGCCCTAAGCCTCATAAAATTCCAGTCAGATGGAGCCCCCATGCAGTTTCTCCTCAGACCCTCTTCTTATCTGCTCTGTCAGTGTGATAGAGTTCCCCCAGGGAGTGGAATCTCAATAAAGCCTCCTTCAGTGGTCTTTTTAAATCTGCCTCCTTTTTGGTTACCACCATTGCCTGACTTTACAAAAACAGAAGGAGAATAACTCATATTGATAGAATGTGGTACATCCACACAATGAAATGTTACTTGGGCCATGAAAAGTAATTAAAGTTCTGAAAAGCTACAACATGGATGAGAATTGGAAACATGCTAAGGGAGTGAAGCCAGACATAAGGGACACATACTGAAAGATCACATTTACAGGAAATGTTCAGAATAGGCAAATCTACAGATAGCTGGAAGTTGGTAGAATCAATGCTTCACTTTTTGAATATACTAAAAAGCCACTGAATTGTGCACTTCAGAAGGGTGAAGTTTGTGGTATGTGACTGTATCTCAATAAAACTAGAGTTTTTAAAAATTAAAAAGACTGCTCAAGATTAAGTTGAATGCTGTGTTGTTAAACCACGATGCAAAGAAAAGACCACCAATTCCAATTTTAAATCTAATTAAAGCAAGCTTGTAATTCCGTCCGGGACTGTCTTTCCCAAAATCCTTGGGTTAGAGAACAGTACCCCAGCTCTCTAGGAGCATATTTTTATAGCACAAAAAGTTGCAAAGGAGAGTGATAACAGGATTTTGACAAGCATAATACAAAGGTAGATAGTAGGTTAATGATCTAAATGGTTCAACATTTCAAGTTAGGGAGTAAATTTAGCTCCCAACACCAGAATTTATGAGGTGCCACTAAGGTTTCAGAGAGGGTTGTTATCTGGTCAGGGAAAGCCAGGCATGGGTGAATACAAGGCACGGGCAGGCATTCCAAGCAAGTTTAGAAATCATAGTAAATTATATTAAAACAGAAATTAACTTTTCATGACAAGATGGCTCTCAATTTTAAGATGGAATTAGGCTGGGTTCATCAGTGTACCCCAAATCTCAATTTCTGTATTCATTTACACGATTTATGATGACATTTGAGATTACTTTTTACATTTCAGGTTTACACTAGGGGCACAGAATGGCATTCCTATTCTTTAAATATGCTAAACTTCATGCCACAATCCGAAGTCCACTGGTTTAAGGGGTCTGAAGATGGAGTGTTCTGGGCCAGCTGTAGCCATCTTTCAATGCTTTCACCTGTCAAAGAAAAGCTTTGAACAAGCCGGACTCTTAAGATCCCTTCAACTCCAGTTTCTTAGGAACTTTACTAGTATAACAATAGAACATTTTAGCAATTGGAGTAGGATGAGAAAAACGAGGGAGCAGCAGAAAGAACAGTACACCAGGTTATCATAGCTAAA